AGGGTGTCGAAGAATGAACTTTTATGGAGGTGAGTGGTGCTGTTCTTAGGACTAAAGTATTCTAGCATGTACTGTATATGTTTTTCATCATCATTTTAATGGTTTTTGATCCATGGGAAGGGGTAGTTTCATTTATCACAGGAGAAGCACCCCCTTCCCTACCCCACCTCTGGTTACACAGACCTGTCTTGTAATAAGTTTATTGGCACATATGAACCTATGGTAATGTACCCACCAAAAACTTGTCTGATGCAGAATGAATTCTTTAATAATTTATATAAATGTATTTTATGACGCCTAATTGTACTGACTGCTTTACTGTAAATGTATTGTTAGTTGTTACAGTTTGTTCACGGTTACTATGGCAATTAAAACATCTAATTGAAGTAATTTCACAAGGCTGATTTATAGCCTTCAAGACTAACATAACATACACTTTTTTTTGGTTAAATTACATGATCAGTTAGTAAGTAGTGGATACTTAGTTTATCACTGGCAGACATTTTAAATCAAATTTTTAGCCTTCTGAAAGACCGGATATTAGTGAATGTTTTAACAAAGGTTTTTATAAAGAAGCTAATAAAACAAACGATTCATTATTAAATATTATGCTTATAATGTTAAATTAAAAATAAATAAAATAGAGAAAAATAATTTTAAACAATATAATAATAATAATAATAATTATAGAAGTGTGCATAAAAAATTAGTAATAGAAAACATTATATTGTAATATATATCATATAATATAATAATCTGGTATGGATGAACACTTATAATTAAAAATTTATGAATTAATTGCAGATTATGTAATATCTTGAGAAATTATTGTACAGTATATAATGTCTGTCAACTTGACCTCTAACCTATTATTGTCAGAGGGTCTTGCTTCGAATCCTGATTGAGAGCAAACAATTTTTCTCCATTGTTCATCACAATATTATAACCATACTAAAGTATATATTTTATTATAAATATATAAATTATATCAATTATATAGTGCCTGTTAAAATTATAAAATGAGACTTGCTATCCCAAAACCAGTATCAGTGATCAAAAAATAAAAATTGATATGTTAATATATACCTATTCTCAACATAGTAATCTTAATGATAGATAATTTACTGGAATCGACTTACTATTGCCAAAGTTATTACAGCTTCTCTGAACTAAAGTATACAATACCGCCACATTCCTTTTCTAATTACTCAGTTTAACATTTAGCTGTATGCTGGTTTCCAGATGGCCTGCCATAGTGGTTGAGGCAACCCAGGTACTATGTAGACCTGTATTACAATACCGCCTTCCGAATTTCCTTAAGACCTTCATAAATATCTTTCAATTTCTTGTATTTTATTTTCATCCTACAGTTTCTATGATGCCTTATAAACTAAGTCTCAATACAAGACTTAGGTTGTGAAACTATATCTTTAGTTGTGAAAAAGAAAATGCTGGTGTCTCTTTAAGATGTATTGTCCCTTGCTAATGTCAAAAAATCATAAAAAAATAAGTTTGAAATAAACTTGATCATTTTGCAATAACATACAAATTATTAACTTGTGCATAGAAATTATTGAATTAAAAACATGTGTACCCTGATTTTTAAACCAACGAATTATAATAAAAATAATCAAACACTTCCAGTGACTGGAAGTGTTTCTATCATTTTTCACTGTAAACTGATGGGTAGACATTTTTTAAAAACACTAATTTCTATGTTCAATTTGATAACTTTTAAGTTACTTCAAATGGGCAAGTTAATTTAAAAAAATATTTTTATGATTTTTTTTTATATTTAGCATGGGACAATACAACTTCAAGGTCAGGCTCCGGAGAAAATAAATTTTGTTGATAGGTTGTAGAACTGTTTTGGCGAGCTTTTCGCCAAATATGCTTTTTGTGTCTTCCACAGAATATCAAAACACTTTTTTCCTCCGGAGGCTGGCTTTAAGCCCTACCAAGACTATGAAATTTTATTTGAGAAGAACATGAGACATGTCATCACATCATGACCATATATAGACACATCATGACTATATATGGACATAAACATTTTTTTTAAATATAGTATAGATAGAGCTTAACAAAGCACCTGGGATTGGTATGCCATTGTTAATGAAAAAATGAAGTGAAATGAAAAAGTGCCAATTGTCCCTTCAAAGTGTAGTAATTTATAACATGACAGTAATTCTGTTTTTGCAAGATGGCCATTATTGAGTGACTGTTAACATCGGTACATGTTTTATCACCAAATAAAAACACAACTAGCGTCACACTGTTATCGATAAGAT